GGCTCGTCTGCATATATTCAGTGCCTGGCTGTCTCCCCCACCAGACTGTGAGCTCCTGGAGCGCAGGGACTGTCCTCTGCCTCTCTCTGCATCCCCAGCTCTTAGCACAGCACACAGTAGGTGCTTAATCAGTGCTTGTGGATGGGCTGACAAAAATAGAGCAGATGGTGTATAGAGGCCCCCACCCCTTACATGAGTCACACTCACTGGATTTGAGAGAGAGATGCTCAAACACACATGCACATGCACGCACATGCACACACATGCACACAGTCAGGAGACACAGAAATCGACCTGTTCTTTGAATGCCGGTTTCCCTCCGGGCTCAGTTCAGGGGCCACATCCTCCATCAGGCCGCTGCTGAGGCCCGAGCCTACTTCCCCCCACCCTCATATCTCTTCCAAAACCACAGTTCTGTGAGCATCTGTCGTCTCCCCTGTGGATCTCCTTGCTTGGGCACAGAGCCGAGGCTTACTAAGTGCCGCTGACTGATTGCCACCGGCACGGGACACGGCCACAAGTACTCTCAGAGAGAGATACGGATTATGACACACCTACCCGCAGATGAGGAAGAGGGCCCTCAGCCCCGTCACCTTCACCGACACGCCAAGATGCACAAATGGACACAGGCAGTGGGGCTGTCCACACTGACACGCCTCCTGTCCTCTACAATGTTCACATACATGACACCACCCAGAATCCACACCCCCAGGGAGACGTGGTCTGCTCTGACGCTGCTGCAACGCACGCACTCACCCAGACAGCCGGTCCTCCCTCCCCATGCACTTACAATCACCAGCACGCACGCACACATACACACACACACACTGTACACGTGCATGTACATGCACACACAAATACACTACAAGTGTACAGTGCACATGTATGTACACACATACAGTATACATACACACACTGCACATGTGCGCACACATGCACACACACAGTCTACACATGCATGCGCACGCACACACACACTGCACACACACACTCACATACACATGCCCTCCTGACTCCCCTTTGCCACCCTGGATCACACAGACGGTGTGCATGCGTGGGTGTGCACACATGGGTGTGTGCACAAGTGATGGGGGGGGTGCCTATCCAAAAGTCCTCTGTCTCTGCCCCCTCATCCGGGGGCGGACGAGATGGCTGCGGAGGGGCATTCTCACCCCCACACTCTGGGACCATCGGAGCCCCTCTACCCATGCTGTCACGGGGGTATGAAGGAACCCCTAGCATGGGTGACACGCCCTTGCCTGGCATCACGTCTCTACCAGGCACGGCCTCCAGCGTCCTCCCCTGTGCAGGCTCCCTGCCAGCTCTAAGGCCACGAGCCAGGAATACTACCTTGACTCTGGGAGAGAAGGGCCGGAACCAAATGGCCAGACCTGGGGGCCAGCCTGAGAAGTGGGCCTCCTCCCCCCCAGTCACACCCCTGGTCACAGAGGTAGGACAGAAAATGGCAGAGCCCCGTCAGTCAACCCACAGGCACGCCCTGCAGCGATGGAGAAACTGCCAGGCTGAGGGACTCTGCGCCCATCACCCCAGGCAAGGCTGGCTCATGTGACGCCGGGGTCCCCCTTCCCTCCCTCGTGTGGCCCCCACCCCATTCCTGCGGGGGTCCTGGGAGGCACCCATCACTGTCCCACATCTCCCACCGCGTCCTTCCCCAGGACGCAGCCCGGCTCCTTTCCTCTAGTGGAAAGAAAAAAAGTTCGCTTTGGTCTTGCCACCCCCAGCGAGGACCCACATCCCTTATCTCCTCAAAGACAAACTTGTGAAAGTGTTCCTTTTCCGGGGCCTCCAAATCCTCACGGCTCCCCCACCCGCTCCTCAACCTCCTAGGAACTGGCCTGGTCTGAACCACTGCGTTGAAATCGCCCTTTAATAGGTCCCCAAGAAGTAGAACTCATGGCCACCCCCATGGTGGCTTCTTCTGTGTTCCCTGGGCGCCTCCCTGCCTCTCTGTAGCCACTGCCCACCCCCAAAGTCTCTGCCCTCCGCCTGTTCCCCTCGGCTCCCACAGACCCTCTGCTCTCTCCCGCTTCTCCCCCCACCTCTCAGACCACCCCTTCTCTAGCCCTTCCAAAGGCTCCTCATTCTCAATTCACCCCCTTAAACCCGGATGTCCCCCAAGCTGCCATCTTGGGCCTTCTTCCTTTGTCTCCTTGCCAACGGATGTATCAGAAAGAATTTTGGAGGACACGTCAGCAGGCCGGCAGTCCAAGCCCAGTTCTGCCTGCTGTGAGCTGAGCAACTTTGGACAGGCCCTCCCCCTTGCCAGGGGCTAACAAGAGCTTTAGGATTCACAACAACCTAGAGGAAAAACCATCAGAAAAATAGGGGAAAAAGAAGGAAGGGGGAGGAGCTCTTCCAGACCTTAAATTACAATATTAGCTGCAGTCATCAAAATCATTTAGTCTTGGTTTAAAAAACCAGAAAAGTCGATCGGTGGAGCAGACCGGGGGAGGAAGGATCAGAAATAACGGAACTGGGTAACTGAGGCCACAGGAACCCGGGAGCCCCCGTCACCTCGGAAAGCATGCCCCATCTGACCAGAACTGCCCGGAATACTGAAAAGCAGTCTGGCGGAAACTAAGTTCAGCTCAACACTTGACCCTATGTGGCCAGATAAATTCAAAACGATCACGTGTCCCGAATACGGAAACTCCGACCATGACAGAAGGAGAAGAGAAGCAGATGGGGGGCCGTCGCGCCTCCCCTAGACACGGGGCGGCAGCCCCGCGATGTCACCAGAAAACCTCGCCCCGGACAAAGTGGCGGCATGGGCTACAAGAGCAGGAGGCCGCCCGGGAAAACTGCATCAAACACCGAGCCAAAACCCTGGGGTCTGATGGTCCAGGCCAGACAACTGGCACAAGTCGTGTGCCGAGAGAAACGTCGTACCAGCCGCTCTCAGAAGAGGAATTTCAAACTCCTATACACCACGAGAAAGAACCTCCCAATCACTGATAACGAAAGAAACACAAATCTGCACAACAGGACAAAGGCCGGGGAGGGTCAATGATGGGGTGCGAAGGCGCTGTGCACCCGAGAACAGGCCCGCGGATCTGGAATTCCAGGTGGAACTCTACGAAGCCCGCTGCTGCAATGTCCGTGTCCTTCGACCTGGAGATTCCACCGCTGGGCACCCGTGGACTCAAAGCAGATGCCCACCGACCGCAGAACAGCTCAGCAAACTGGTCCGTACAGAGAACGGGATGCTCCCGTATTGTAAGAAACACAGCTGGGACGAAGAAAGAGAAGCACGAAGCGGAAAAACATCAAACCTGCTGGAGTGAAACCCCAGAGAGGTCGGGAGAAGGGGCCCCTTGTTGGGAGAGGCGGCGGTCCACGGGTGTGGAATGCTGTCAGTCTTGCCGAACTCTCCCCAGCCCTTTATCCCTTTATTATAAGGGATGGTTCTTGGGGAGGGAGAGGAAGGAGGTGATGGAAAACCCAAAGTTATCGCTAAACTTTTATTTTACATCTCTAAGGATTTCGAGCACACCTCAGGGCTCTTGACCCCCGTCCCCTGAATCCCACACCCTCCTTTGATCAATCCCAGCATCCTTTCTTTCCTCCTCACCAAGCCTCACAGTTACTGGACAGCCTCCACTACGGTCCAGCTCTGGTCACTCATTGTGCCCAGGAGAGGACCCTGGACCATCCAAGACCAGTTCAGGAGGTCCTCTCAAGCACACAAGGCCGCTCCAGGCGCACACCTGGCTCTGGGGAGGCTCTCCACCAGAAGGCTGGCCACGCTCTGCCCTCGAGGAGGGCATGCCCATGCCCGTGAAGCCACAGACCTTCTGAGATGATCAGCTACAGATGCCCTTTGGTGGACCATGCATCGAGTCTCTCAGGCTATCTGGGCACTGGCTGAAGGGTCACTGCACTCCCTCGGCCACCTCCAACTGGTCTGCCCACATTTCCCCTCTCCACGAAGACACCCAAACACTCTTCCCACCAAGGCTCCCCTCTGCCTCCAGGAGAAGTGCTCAGCCTGGGCACTCCAGGGCCTCTGTACAGGTGCCCCATGCCAGACCGCCCTCCCTGAGCTCTCTCCCCTTCGAGGCTCGCTCAGGGGGACCCCCCTCCCCTAGGCGAGCTGTACTCCTGCCCTCCTCAAAGGACCCTGGATTTGCCCGTCGGCTCGCTGCTGCCTCCCTCCAGGAGAAAGCTACCTCCCACCCTTCCTTGTCCGATGTGTAGGAGACACAATAAGCTGGGAAATTCTAATAGGAAAAAATGGAGGGGCCGCTCCAAAAGGCAGCTGGAAAGGGGAAGGGAATAAGCATTTATAGAGTGCCTCTGGCATACCGGGTGAAAGCGCTTTACAATATTATTCCACTTGAGAGAGGATAGAACGGAGGCTGTGTTGGGAGCCCACAGAGCAAGTGAAGACATCTGGGGTGAGTGAATCGGAGGTGGGATGATGCAGAAGGCCCAGCACACTCTCCAGGAGACATGGCTCTGCCCTCCCCGGACCACTTTAGGAAGGATACTGACACCACTTTAGGAAGGATACTGACAAGCCAGAGAGCCGGGAGCAGAGCAGAGGCTGGAGCCGTGGAGGAGGAGGAGGCTGCGGCCAGAGAAGACTGGGGCAGAGGGGACTATGAAGGTCCTCTGCTCACTACCTCCAGGCCAGCGGGCACCCAGGCAGAGGAGACCCCAGGACAGAACCTGCACCGATGCGGGCATCCCCGCACGGGAAGGCTAGGGTGGATGGGACCTGTCCACATCCGAAGAAGTGAGTTCCCTGTCCCCGGAGGTCTTCTAGGCTGGACGGCTACTGGTAGGGCGGACATCTGAGGCTCCGTGTCCTGGATCCTGCTCTCTGCTAACCACTCAGGCGCGGCTAGACTTTCCCTTCTAACTCCCCAGGGTCCTAGGCTCTCAAAGACATTTTAAAACCCTTGATCCCGGGATGGGTGACAAATGACACGGTCTCCCGCCCATGCCACGTTCACCCCTTAACTAGACCACCTTACCCATCAGACAGATAGTGAGGTCCCCGTCTCTGCTGGTGTTCAAGCGGAGAAAGTCTTCGTTCAGCCGTCCAACTCGGAGTGCAGAGGGGGTACTGCGCCAGACACGGGTGCCCCAGCACACTCGCTGCACTCACGCAACCGCCCACGGGGCAAGCGGGCACCCAGCAGCGTGGACACGCGCGCGCACGCGCATGAGTTCACTATCGCAGGTACTCACACCGACCCACAGTCATCCCACGTACCCGGGGACGGCAAGCACAGGCACAGGCTGCATCAGAGCATCCACGAGGTCGCCTCGCAAGCCTACCGCCCCTCCGGCCCCGCCCCTCCATGACCACGCCCCCCCTGTGGGCCCTCCCCCTCCCAGGCCTCCTGCGGATCCGCCCCGCCCAGCCTGGGACAAAGGCCTCTTCCCTCTGGCCAGGCCGCGAGCACGCTGCTCCTGCGCAATGTGCACCGAGCCCCCCCCCCCCGGGCGTCGCTTCCCAGAGGCCTCCACGGCGGCGCCTCTTTTTCATACAGGCCGCGGGTGCCTGTGGGAAATGAAGTCCGCCGGCCTTGGGCTCCCGTGGGGGGGGCGGGGATGTGCACCGGCGCAGTGAAACCGCCCCTCCCCCCCACCGTCCCACGCGTGACGGGGGTGGGCTGGGGGGGCGCAATATCTGTGGATGTTTGTGCGTGCCCTCCGTGACGTGGGGGGGTGGGAGTGTGTGCGCGTGTCCTGCCACCCGTGTCCGTGTGCGTGTGCACACGTGTGTGGGACCGGGTGGGTGTCTGGGTGTCTGTGACCTGTGGGGCCCCATGAATTTACTTCAGCCCCTCCTGGAGTGGGAAGCACCCACTGTGCACCGGGCACTATTACGACCATTCACAGAGCACCTACTGTGTGCCAGGCAGGGCTTTTGTGGTTCAGTCATCCGACTCTCCGTGACCCCGTTTGGGGTTTCCTTGTCAGAAGCCCAGGAGCGGTTTGCTGTTTCCTTCTCCAGCCCATTTTACAGATGAGGAAACTGAGGCACGCAGGGTGAAGTGACTTGCCCAGGGTCACACAGCTAGGAAATGTCTGAGGCTGGATTTGAACTCAGGTCCTTCCTACTCCAGGCCCAGCGCTCCAGCCATTGTGCCACCTAGTGCAGATGTAAGCTCCTGGAGGGCAGGGACTGTCTGGAGCAGCGCTGGCCTTGCGGCAGGACTTTAATCCAGCTTGCTGTTGTCCCCGTGCCTGGGTGCCTGCTGAGCAGACCCACTCGTGCCTTTGGGTCTTATGTGCCGGGAACACGTGGGCCCAGAGGCCTCTGTCCTGGGGTGGGCCATGTTCGTGACAGGCTCCGTCATGAGTGGGGCTTCCGAGGATGGGGAGGGAGGGAGATGTTCCAGAAGAGCTCCATCCTGCCCTCCTCCAGGACCCCTCCATCCTTCATGCCCTTCTCCTTCCTGTGTCTTCCTCGCTCCTCCCTTCAGTGCCATTCCTCACACGTTCAACAGACTTACATGCAAGTTGCTCTGTTCATGAAACCTGTTTTCCTATTGCGTTAAAGTAGATTTCAGGGATATTTTGCCCTGAGGACTGCTTTAGCTGCATCCTAAAATTTTCTATGTATTTTGTCATTTTATCTTGCCTTTATATCATTATAGTTTCTATGATTTGTTCTTTGACCCATTCATTATTCTAGATGTTATTACTTAGTCTGCATCTCTGTCTCTAACTCTTCCTTATGTTCCCTTGTAGCTATCTTTATTTCTGTATAGTCCATAAAGGATTGTTTAATATTTCTCATGTATTTATAATTTCCCTGTGTACTACTACTTGATCAGTTCTTGTAAAGGTACCATATGATACTGGGAAATAATGTATGTCATTTAATGTACCCATTCACAAGATGCCCAAGATCTGTCAAATAAAAGTTTCCAACAGTCTCTCTGGTTCTTTATTTTCCATTTTACCTCTTAGATTTATCCAGCTCTGAAAAAGATACATGAATATTTCCTAGCATTATCATGTCAGTCAGCAAGCATTATTATCTGTGTATTTTTGCATTCAATTAGCTTCACTTTTGTAAATGTAAATGCTCTATCATTTGGTGCCTCTATGCTTAATAATGACACTGTTTCATTAAACCTTTAAGTATAATGTAGCTGACCTGCTTCTTTTGACAGTGTGAATTTTTATTCTGGCCTAGTTAGTACAATTCCAGCTTCTGGTTTTCTGGAATAGCCTGACCCATGCTAATTTTTGTTCCAGCCTCTCATTTTCATGCTGTATGGGCTTTTATTTTTTAAAAAGATGTTTCTTGTCATACATCATCCCCATTTTTGAAAATGACACCCACTGGATCTCCTCCAAAAACCTTGCAGTATACCATTCTCAGAGGTTTCATTTTAGAATCCTTGTACTTGCACTTCTCACCATAAAGTTCTGAGAGTACAACCCAAGGATTCAAAGGTGATTGAAGATCAGAAAGGGCTTCTGGGTAAGCATTTTGTTTTAAGCATGCGTGCATTGCCTCTCTTCCTTACATATACATGAGTGTGTGTGTGTGTGTGTGAGAGAGAGAGACAGAGACAGAGAGCACGTGTGTGTGTGTGTGTGTGTGTGTGTGTGTGTGTGTAAAATAGAAGTATTTCTTTGTTTTTTTGGTGAGGCAATCGGGGTTAAATGACTTGCCAGGGTCACCCAGCTAGTGAGTATCATGTATGTGAGGCTGGAAAAACAGAAGTATTTCAGATACGTTGCCTGTGGCTTTCTTCAGCCGGGGGTTTTTGTTTCTGCCAAAAGCAGGGCTTCTTTTCTCCACGTTCCTTTCTGGTAACTCACTGCCTGATCCAGTTTTTCCAGCCACTTCCTTAATGAAGCATATGTTGACACAGGATTGATGTACTGTATGTGTGTGGAAGGGTGAGCTACATGGGGGATAATACTTGAACAACTGTGCCAAAAAATAAAGGCAACAAAAGACAAGGAAACTATTTATGAAATAAATTCCCAACCTGAAATTCAATATTTTTTTTTAAAATGAAAAAAAAAAAGATGTTTCTTGTGCGTAACAAATTATGAAGTATTGCCTTTTTCATTTTACTGGATTTAAATAGATTTCAATAGTAGATTTAAATTTACTCAGTTTATGGTTATTATTAGTTTATGTTTTCCTCCATTTCTTTCTTTTGCTTAATTTTGCCCCTTCCTCTTTGAAGTCAGCATTTGGCCCATGAGTCCTTTCCCCCTCCCCAACCTCTCTGCCTGGCCTATTTCAAGTTCCTTGAATTCACTAAATCCCTGAGTCCCCCACCACCCCTTCAACTTCTTAACTTGAATAGTTGGTCCTAAAGTAAGTAAGTGTTTACTTCTCTAATTTGTGCTAAAGTTAGATATTAGATCGTTAAGTGTCTGATTGCCCTTTGTGTTTTACTTCTTTGAGGGAAGCTCTGATTTCCGATCTAACTTCAAAAATCCTTTCTTTACAGGTGCCATTTCTCTTCTGAGTCTTTCAGAGTTTCTTCCTGTTGTTCCATGATCTCAGAGGATTTCACAGAATTTATTGTTTTCCCCTCTTTTTTCTCCTTGATGTTTTTGGCTTGCTTCCCTCCAAGGCACAATGTTTACTATGCCATGGCCTTTTCAGAAATGCTTGTTCATTTCTCCTCCTTTATGAGTCATATTGTTGGACTGTAGTTACTCTGCCTTACTCTTTCTGTCCTTTTGTCTTTTTTTATTATTTTTCCCCAAATGAATGTAAGAAGACCACTGTGGCTTGAAGGGAGGCAGAACAGACACCTTTAGCCTCTTCTCCTCCCACCCTTCCCCAGGGGAGACTTTAATTCCTACCAGGAATAGAAGCAGAAGCCACCACTCTACTTTGCTCAGAGAGAGGAGCACTGGGCTAGAATTGTATCTATCTGCTCCCTTAAGTATTGTTTGTGTAGGGGATACGATCAGGTTCTAATTCTGATTGCTTTGTCATTTTGGGTGGGAGACCCCAAGTTCTGTATCCAAGGTCTGACCCCTTTTCAGGCTAATACAATTCCACAATGAACACACATAGGGAATAGCAAAGAAGTCCATTTATCCAAATCAAAGTCAACCAGAAATCAGAGAAGGTATACCTTGGAGAGTATCTACCAGGCAACAGAGTGAAGGAGCTCTGCTATTAGGAGTGAGATACTCAGCTCAACCAAGCCAGAGGGCCCCGGATCTCACCCAAGGGGAAACTCCGAGAAGTCTCTAGAGTGGTGAACATTCTGGAGGCTACTGGCTCTTCTCAGGGCGACTTTTCCTTCAGCACCTGCAGTGGAGCCGGCCTCTTCCATCTTCTCTCTCGCAGCCGGAAGCCAGGAGCGCCCAGCAAGACCGGACTGGAAGCTTACTGAGGCTCGTTGCCCTGCAGAGTCCCCAAGGGGCCTGGCCTGGAACTGAAGCTCTCCCCTCTCACCAGCTCCGTCCTTCCCTACACACAGGTCAGGGCGTTCATCTCCACCAATAACGAGAGAGTTCCAATGGGCTTTGGGAAGGGATGTACGGGGATTGACCTTCTGTCTGCCCCTGCTGCCCCCTCTTCCCACTGAGGATGCAGGAAAAGCAAAATCACCCATTATAGACAGGTACACTCAAGCGAGCCACAATTCCTTCCCTGGCTGCCTCAGTCTGCACCTGGAACCCCTCTTCCTTCTGTCTGGAAGTGAGCAACAGGTTTCATCAAGAGGCCTCTGGATTGTGGCTGGCCATTGAATTGATCAGCATCTCCAAGTCCTTCCGAGTTGTTTGTCTTTACATGTAGTTGTTATGGGGTTCCTGGATCTGCTCACTTCACTATGCATCAGTTCATGTAAGTCTTTCCAGGTTTTTCTGAACCATCATCGTTTCTTACAGCACAATAATATTCCATCACAATATATACCTCAACTTGTTTAGTCATTTCCCAGTTGATGGGCATCCCCTCAGATTTCAATTCTATGCCACCACAGAAAGATCTTTGTCCATTGGAGGCCTTTTGTCTTTGGGGTATAGACCTAGCGGCAGTATATCTGGGTCAAAGCGTATGCACAGTTCGATAGCATTTTGGGCATGGTTCCAAATTGCTCTCCCCAAGGGCTGGACCAGTTCACAACTCCACTAACAGTGCAATAAATTAGCACCTGCTGTCCCACAACCCCTC